CCCCCCCCCCCCCGGAAATAGTCCCCGGTACACATTGGATAGGAGGTTGAGTGGCTCGTAGATCCTGTCTGGACGAAGTGGAGAAGAGAAAATTACTGCCTCTACCGGGATTCGAACTCCGACCCCTCGGCCGTGTAGAACGTAGCCAGTCTCTATACCAACTGAGCTATACCGGCTCCATTGCAGAAACCTAGCGCTCCCGAATATGATGACGTCACTGTGTACCTCATACGTTTCCAGTATTTTTTTTATTGTTAGTGGGGTGAGACTAAGTCCCTTGTACTGCGGCCACTTCTGGCCTATTGTACCAGCCCCAGACGATAAGTGAGGGTGATTGTGGAGCAATTGGTGGAATGAAGATTGGCAGGGGAAACCGAAGTACTCAGAGAAAACCTGCCCCAGCGCCACGGTGGGAAGCCAGCGACTAACCGCTTGAGCTATGGCGCGGCCATCCGTTTCCAGTAACATCTGTATTAAGCAACTAGACCTCTGAGGTTATCTTTCCTTCGCATCCGGTATTGCGTTTGGGGTAGCAGGTCCAGTCGTGTTTCGGGTTAAGTAGGTCAGCGACGGAGGTAGGTTTGAAGGCTTGTTACCTTCTTTTTCATTCGGTGCAACTGTCATACACGTGACGTAAATGGTGCTTCTTCGGTGGCTCTCAGTTCCATGAGCTGCACTGAATGAGGCTCAAGGTTTAGGTGTGTCGTATCTATGAGTGACCCCGATGACAGTCTGCGAAGTTTCAGTGTTGCCAACATTACTATCAGTGTTTAATGGGCAGATATTTGCAGATAAGAGATATAACTAATTTGTTGACTAATTTACTGATTGACTAGCTGGTTACCTGCCTATGTAACTACCTGCCTTCGTAATTAACTATCAGGCTGACTACCCACCTACCTGACTAACTAAATTATTAACTACATAACTATTTACCTACATAATAATTCAGTAACACTGGGCACGTAGTAGCGTAGTTAGTTGAGGTACTACGCTACAAGTCGCGGGTTCGATTCCCGATGAATCGAATTCTTCAGTTGACCTAATCCTTCCAGCCGCACTATGGCCCTGGGGTCGACTCAGCCTCTAGCAG